CTTTTTTTCTTATAAAAGGCTAAATAAAACAAAAATATTGGTGGTAATTTTTGACTATGTAACTTTACAAACGGCATAGTTTTTATCCTTTGCATCAAAAAGTACAATTAAAATTAGCATTAGCACCATTAGCAGTCATGAAATGTAAGTTGATTTCTGGAGATCATCTAAGGCCCGTCCACATGAGTACTCTGCCTGTCCAAAACCATTTTCCCCTCAAACACAGCATCCTGTCTAGAAATGTCCTGATCCACATGAAAACAGAAAATACCTCAAACACTGTTAGAACCTTTGCCAGTCCTGAATGTGGCGCTGCCATGGATATACTTGAACACTGAAAGGCAATGTGCAGCAGACCATTCAAACWGTAAAAAACACTGATTCAAGAGCAAAAACTGAATCCATTTTGTRAAGCAAGGAGAAAACAAAACTTCTTTGTGCCTGATCAGTACATAGAGTCAGTCTAAAAGCTGACTCTGATTTGTGATGTGCACACAGACATCTGAACAGTTAAACTTCATCTTTGGCACTTAAAGAACCCCAACAGGTTAAGGTCCTGATCCCAGCTGTAAGAAATAAAAGACCAAAACAACGGACTGATCAAACGAACAAAAATCAATGAATCCAGGTTTAAACTGARAGAGGCCGTCCTACAAGCAGTCAACCTGTTTTCATGTTCTTCTATAACGTTAGGAACTCAGCCTGAACCATCTTCTCTTCTGTCTGAACACCAAAGTAAAAGCTTCCTAAAAGAAACTCTGCTTACTGAGATCAGAACCTCTTGAGAACTCCCTCTCCCATCATCAGACAGGAGATCCACATCACGATCAGCTGCAGCTCCCTGGAGTCTGGGATCTACACCTCACCGGTCGAAGCAAACGTCTCAGACGTCTGTTACTCCTCTCGTACAGGTCAGAGATTCTGTCCTCCAGGTTCTCCACAGGGTCGGTCAGCTCGTGTCTCCTCAGGCCTGGAACCGTGCGATGAAGCCTCAGGTGTGTCCCACAGTAGGAGGTCAGACACAACAAGCAGGACTTCAGAGCTCTCTGTTCRCAGACGCCACACACGACAGACACCGCTTCGGCTCCTCGGTCCTCCTGATCCCTGAACTGAAGAACGATCTCTGACCTGAGGATGATGGGCTGCAGCTCAGGTCTAGAACTGAAGCTCTGGTTACACAGAGGACAAACACAGCGGATGTCCCAGTGTCTTTTAATGCAGATCATGCAGAAAGTGTGTCTACACGGGGTGGTGACAGGATGGACGAACACATCCAGGCAGATGGGGCAGAAGTTATCGTCTTCAGAGAGGAGAATGCTGCSAGTTGTCATGTCTAAAAAACAAAATATATTTAAATGTACAGAGA